TGACATTTGCAGCACTTTGCGCAGAGGTAGCGTATCGGGCCACCTATTTAGTTCAACAAACTTGATATGTGAACCGGCTTCAGATCGTTTGCGAGGGGCAACAGATTTTAGCCGTGCTCGAGTCGACATATACATTGTTGAGGGTTGCAGCATTCACATGCGGTGAAGCGTACCAGCCCACTATCATACAACGAGCTGTCACAGTACGTTGGGGCTTGTACAACGTCATTTTGAAGGTAAGGATCATATTTGCACGATTGTGTGGGTGCACAGTAGTACAACAGACTAGTAGCTCGGCGCTTCAAAGTGCCGGAGATTATGCTCGCAGAACCTCCCCTTCGATGAGACTCTCGCTTCAAATCGTTGCAACGAGTGCTGTATTCTGACTTCGCCATCGCCGACCCGGCCTACGTGCATCCGCATCGTCAATTGGATGTTTTGAATGCGGTGTGCGTTCACCATTCGTGCACTTCTTTCCATATCTTGCTGGTAGGTTTCGATAAATTCGTCCATACCCGGCCATCTCCTGGCTCAGCTGAGCAATCTCGGCTTGATAGTTAGCATGAAATTCGCTGATCACCACAGCTCCGGTAGATAGAGGCATCATGAGCACGACGAAGGAGCATCTGCCTTCTATATTGCTTCACTGACCACATACTGATACTGAAACCTACTTGTACAGCATATGGGCTACAAACATAAATTTTGAGCCCATAGAACTGTCGTATATTTTCACTATTCGAATAATGAGTCCTCTCAATTTAGCTGAGACAATGAATTTAACAGCTGCTTGTAAATATTAAAAATCCATCCGCACCTTCATATTAGTAATCCATATTTATTACTCCGTAGTACGACTATTCTACAATTTCTACCTGGCTGTGAGGAGACAGTCTATTGCCTGAACTACATCTAGTCATGGGCTGTGCACCAAGCAGCGAAGTCTTTCAGCCAATTCCTGACAGTTTTGAATCTATTGGTGCGTATTGATATGTCTGCGCGTACTATCGTGGAGTCCAATTAAGTGTTTGATACGCTGAAACAGAGGAAGTGCAGAAAGCTCTTCGGTCAGTTCTTCGACCACGTGATGATTTTAGTTTTGAGCATAGACTGATTTTTGCATTTGAATGTCGCTATTACTGGCATCGACGTGATGTTAAAGACAAGTGGGGCTGCAGTCTTCAGATTTAATAATTGCGGTAGGTGCCGCACAGCAAATGATGGACATACTTCTTTCGTCTGACTTGCTACTGTGTTTGTGTTTAATCATTTTTTGATAGGTCGACTTTACAGAATCAAATTTGGTATCTTGAATTACTTTACGTGGTGCAATTGTCAATGTTATCAAGACACTAACTGGTTGTAATTTTTAGGTGAAGGGGGCGGAAACTTTCGAAGGTCGCTCGTTACACTATTTGGACAAGACTGGCCGTGTGAGGAATCCATACCAGGAACGTTGCTATATTGTACATAGCTAAAGTGTTGATGCAAATCCTGAATAAGAGCTATTTTGATTTCTGCAGACAGTAATTTCAGCTATAACACGAGTATTTGAGCTCTTTGACGACGACGATTCGATTCCAGCCTTTGGTTTCGGTGGCTATCCAGAACGACCAGTGGAAAAGAGATATTTTCCATTTGTAGAAGGTCGAGGTTGTGAATTGGATGAGGTGTTGCAGCAATACTTTGCAATAGCTTCCAGGATGGAACTCAATGCTTCAGCCAGTTTTGTACCCGTGATTCACAAAACAATCAAGATGGCCAGGAAATCGAGCAGGTATCACATTTTGATTATCATATCAAATGGTCACATTGATGATCCTGCTCTGGTCCGAAAAGCCATTGTGGAAGCATCTGAATACCCCATTTGTACGTTGCTTTAACATTTATCCATTAGTCCACTGGTCTTTACTTGCTTTTCTTTGTAGCCATTGTCATGATTGGTGTCGGTGATGGCCCCTGGAATATCATGAAAGAATTTGACGACCAGCTACCTGAACGCCTTTTCGACAACTTTCAATTTGTAGATTACAACACTATTCCTAGAGGTAACCTGAACAATCCAGATGGAGGGTTTGCATTGCAAGCACTTATGGAGATCCCAGGTATGTTGTCAAGTAAAACACGCTTGATATTTTATGGTGGCTCACGTTTTTATGTATTTGATGTCAGAACAATACAATAAAATGCAAGCGCTTGGACTGATCAAGAACTAGTGCAGCTCACACCTCTATATTTCTGCCTTTTCTATTATATTGTAATGTAATATTCCAACAAGGCATGTTAGTTTATCTAAGCTAAATGAATATATATATATTTAAATAACTTTTTGGGGTTTTGTAGTGCGAAAGATTCAGATCGTAGCAAACGAATATATTAAATTTCCAGAAAAAGTATTGAAGTTCAACTTTTTGTTAGTGCGGAAATTTTCGTATGAAACCGGAGGTTTCCCCCAAAATTTTAATTGAAATGTCTTCTTAAAAGAAATTTCAACGATGCAACATATTTTTGTTGGGTTTAATCAAAATATTAATTTACCACATAAATAGAGTAGAATTAAAAATGGACGAAAAGAAAGCATGCGATGTACCTGGCATCGAGTTAGTATCAGGCACCATCAGCTTGCCATCACCTGACACTAATACGCTTGATGAGCCCGTTTCTACTACAATTGTAAGCTGCAAGCTTTTGTTTCTTTTTTTGCTCTCTCTACTTGCATGTTTGACATTATTCGGAACTAAACGACGCGTGTCCGACAGCTTCGTGACTTACGTCTCGTGGGAGGCAAGCTACGTGTTGTTCTGATGCCCAGTAATACGTCGGAAGAGACGCTTAAAGCACTACGAGACTGTAACGATCTATTGCTGAACGAATGAGCCGATTCCGACATCAGCTTACTGGTTCTTGTGTATCAATTAGGGGATTTATGGGGTCCGCTGCTGCTATGTCTAACGCTCTCCATCATGTTAAGTATTACGGCTCCGGTATCGCAGTCGGCCATGGTATTTACAGGAGTCTTTATTGTGGTTTGGGTCGGTGCCGCCGTCGTAACTATCAACGCACAGCTGTTGGGTAGTGCCATGTAAGTCCGTTGGAATTTCTTAAGTATGTATTCGTGCTGAGATTGGGCTGAATATATTGTTGTACAGATCATTCTTTCAAAGTGTTTGTGTATTGGGATACTGCGTCTTTCCTTTGAATATTGCCACATTGATGTGTATGTTGACCAAAGTTGTGGTTCCGCACATCTTATTGCGAATGGTCATTGTCAGTATTGGATTTCTTTGGTCAACACGAGGTGTGTATCTTGCTCGTATGTTAAAATTGCATGAATTGATAATGTTTTTATGATATTATTATTTCACTGCGTAGCGTCAGTTGTATTCATGTCGAAGTTGGTACCTCCAAAGCGCAAGGCGCTAACAGTATACCCTGTGTTACTATTTTACTTGTTGATCAGCTGGATGGTCCTTATCCAATAAATGAGATTTTTTGCTAGAAGTTTTAAATTATCGAAACTCAAAAACAATCATACATTATTCCAACAACATCGTATATATCGTACAATCTTGATTAGAAGGATATCTTTTATAGGTTGCAGTCTCATTAGACACTAATGATGTCTACTTTTATCCATCAATCGTTTCAGATTGATCTACCGTCTACACAATCTGAAGCTGCTCTCGTAGTCCGAGAAAGCATGAAGCTTAGCCACCATTGTCGTGCTAGATATTTTACCGATAGTTTTCGACCTTCCTATTCACAATTCTTTTACGTGATTTAAACTTGTTGCGACATTTCATAATTTATTTGCTACTATTCGCCCCATGACTAAAATGTCTTTTGACGACGCACGTGCTGTGACTAGTGAAGTATTGAGTCACATCTTTTAGTTGTTCAAGCAATGGTCACGAGAGCAAAAACCTTACACTTTTATACAATTTACGTTGCACTTTTGTGTAATTTTGAAATTTCTCTATAAATACTGAAGTTGCAGAAAATAAAGCCAGTATTATCACATGATTATATTTTTCAATTTAGTTGAGTCATATAATCTATGCCATTTGTGATCTAGCAGAGCATAGCAGGTAAATAGTGGCCAAAGAGGCTCTAAATTCTGCTCCTGGGTAAAGAGTACGAGCATATCATCTGTGTGTTTGTTAACGCGAAATCTTGAAGCCAAAGCTTCCAGTGTGCTAAGGCTTTGAATTTGGATAGTTTGAGACACCAAATGCTCTAATTTGAAGTGTGCATATGCACGTCTGCACAGCTTAAGGCTTCCTGTGTTACAGCACTGACCCATTTGACACCGAGCGCGTGGTGGTACCTCATGATAAATACCTCAAGTCTAAAACACTGTACAAGGCACATCATATATCTTTGTGGTAGCCACCTCGAAAGAGGAATACAAACTGTTCGGTGGGCGCTATGCATCGGTGGTATAAGACCTATGAGTGGCTGATAACATTAATGCGTCCGGGTCAAACGTGTCATCGCGGTTTTACCGTCGCCGCCTGTCACCAGACTGCTGTTTATGGCAGAGTGCTGACTTTTCATCCAGTAGAAGCTTTGTTTTCGGCCTTCTCAAAGATGCTTGCGGTCACACTGGAGCTGTGATTTTTGCGAGCCGTTTGGACAGAATTGCTTATCTCATTGTTGTTGCATATTCCGTAACCAGCGAGGGTGCAATCAAAGCTGCAACTAGACAATTTTTCGATTGCCAACATGGCTTGCCGGTTGTCATTGTGTCGGATCAACATCAGCGCTTTGAGGCGAAATTCCCGCAACATTGTTTGGCACCAGATTGAATATATCAGTCGCTGACTATCAGCAGACACATGGTTGGCTAAACGCGTTAATAGAGGGGTGGAAAATACCGAACAAAGCACTTGCGCGGAGAAACTGCGATGATGAATCGAATTGATTCCCTCCATTCAGTTCGCGCTAATAGCCTGTAAGTGGAAAACAACGCTGACATATAACTTTGATGGTTGGCCGGCACTCCATTCTTCTGCGGAGGCGAGCGGAGTTGTTAATAAATACCACTAGCGGTGATGACTTTCCACCTTGACGTTCCGTCGTATTTTACGCTGCACAAACGCCTTAATCGTCGGAGGTATGCTGTAATAAATTGGCTTGCAAACTTGTGACACAATTGAGATGGCGCGCCTTCTTCACTCAGTGTGCGAATCGAGCGCGGAACAAAAATCAAGGTACATCCCTCATAAAAAAATTGAGTTCTAACAGCTGCTTCATATTAGACAGGCGGCAAGTTTAAGCGATGAAATTATAATAGCGCACAGATCGATTTGATGGCGTCTTACTCTTCAGTTAGCAGAAAGCACGCATGCATAGGCTTGTAAGGGATCATACAGTACGACGAGGCACTTCTTGATGCTCTTAACTATAGCCACAACATAAGATTTTGGCGCTTGTGGACAGGCAAGATGAGCTTCATGAGCTAGATCCATCTAGATGGAAAATAAATGGACTTTGCCGTGAGCTCCGCGGCGGGGTGTCGCAACACCTAACTCCGTGGAAACGTACGCGCAAAGTGCAGCTTATACAATAGGCAAAGCGCAGCGAACGCTTTCTCCTCGGTGAACGGCATGGCTGTATGTCTCCAGGTGAGAAAGTAGTTAATTTTAGAGTTATCGCGACCGATCTCATCGATAAGAAGCTCAGCCTCAATGTCGAGGATGGCTTCGAGGTCGCTGGACGCAAAGTTTTTGTCTTTCTCAGAGGTATGCTGAGCCGCGTCATGGTTTGAAGGTAAGAGGACTCTCAAAGCAAATGTACTTTCAAGAGTAGACGCTTTTGGGTACCGGAAGTGGAGTTAAAGGGGGTGCTCGTTGAGGGCTCACCTTTGCCTGATTTTTCAAAAGAACATCAAACAGAGGAGCATCGGTCTGTTGAGACGAGGTTTTATGTTCACGTGGGATGTCAACCTAATGTCAAGCAAAACAGGATGAACTTATTACATAATAAACGTATATATATGTACTCTCTCCTGAAACAGCAGATCAAATTGAATACTTGGGTACTTAAGAAGCCCAAGGCTGTTATCCTGAGTGAAAAGTAAAACCTAATTCTTGTGTGTAACAGGGCTAAGGACGCCGCTACCTTAGCACACACTAAACAATATTTTCTTTAACTAACCTAAATATATAATATGACATTTAATACTACTAGTAGTTAGTAGTACTGAACAACTTCCACAATGTATATATAATTCTTTTAACTACTCATGAACGGGACTACCCCGTAAACTTTCTTCTCACTCACAGTTACCGCTAGTCCAAGCCGTAAACGCCATTTAGGAAACATCAGCGATACGCTCGGATTCGTTCCCCGAGTGCTTACAAGACTGGATAGAAACTGTGACATGCCCCTCTCTACCACTGGGAATAAGCACTGAGCTGGTCACCAGAACGATTGTTATGGAATCAGTAAGAGATGTAAATTTTTGCGGGGCCGAGAAGCGGAAGAACTATTAGATGAAATACAGTGATTGCGGTGCGCCATCATTCGACGATGGAACGCTTTTAGAAGCGGAGATTTCCGCTACATGGCATCGTGGCTGTCGCGCTTAATGCTACACACAGCCCTCACTCCATCGCACGACAACGCGAGCGGGCACACGAACTAGCACAGAAACGTTAGCGCGTGAGCCTCGTGCACATACTGGAAGGGTGTACGCGCTACCTCAACACTCCGCGCACACACAGGAGCAGTGAGACCATATGGACCGACATTTCTGCCAGCACAGAACGAGCAGCGGTGACTCAAACTCTATTAGCGCGCTTTGGAAAAGAAGGGCCTTACCATGGTCATCGATTGCCTACGAGCGATACGAGAGTCATCATTCGCGTATCTCGTCTCCTGCAAGACAATGCATTAACAGAGAACCAAGTGACCATTATTATCGCAGCCATAGCTAAGAAACAAGTGGCTGAGGCAGCTACAACGGGGACCGTACGCTCGCGTACGGCACTACAGCCAAATTTCGCTCACAAATTTCGACTCGGGATCTATCAGAAGAGTCAAGTTCGACGTCGCGCTCGCCGAGCTCTTCTCGTGAGTGCTGGACTGTGTCAGGGGGTCTTTCTGCGTCAGCACAGATAGAATGGTCTCGGAATTCTAAACCACATCGGGGATATTCTCTATCAAGCGACGACATGGCCCCCACATCTCTTCCACTGGCGAAAACAGCCAGTCAGCGAACCGCTCAATATCCCTCCCAATATGAAGCATCACGCCTGATGTTGAATGTGGCCGCGTATTGTGATCGACTATACAATTGGAAATACAGGGCCGAACACCGTTCGAGTAAATTAGCAAAATCCAGCGTCGCGACCCTGTGCGCGTGCTAACGCTGTAGTTCCGAAATTATCGTCTCGAAAGATTTAAGCTACAGGAACCCACGCGCTAGGATTAACTTTTCTCAAGAGCGGGATGCTGGGAGCTATCCTTCCCATTTCAGAGCCGAGTTCCGTACCCCTCATTACACTATGGTGCACTTTTGTCAGTGGACCTACTCCCACCCAGCTATCACTCACCCAATTGGGTGCGGGTTGGCAGGGCGGTCAAACCACAGAGATGTGATTGCTTTCCACTTCAGTGACCTATCTCCGGCGTCCTCTATTCGGATCCTATGGGTATCGAACCCGGTACCTCTCTGTTCCAGGCCAAGCTACAAACCAATTGAGCCAGGGATCGGCTCAGAACTACCGTCTAGAGGAGTCCGGTTATGCGCCCGCAAGCACGAAGGCAGGCGCTACGTGGAAACCTTCGCTGGTATATATCGTTCGAGCTGACCAGTTTGTAACGTTGGGTGTAGTAGCATAGCCGTTGAAATGTTCGGTTTTATGCGGCTTGAAGACATGTAGTCACGTTAATTGACCTGATTAATCTAGGCGCTTATTTGCTGAGAAAGAAAGCCATCACAACACCTGCTTGAATACTCAATGGTGGTAATAGTACCAGATCACTAAGTCGGAAAAGCTCTCTATTATCCCGATCTTTTTCAGTCACATTCTCTTTCTGTATATCCACTTCGAGTTGTAGTGCATCACGCACAAAATTGGGGTGGATCATCGTTGTCACACAAAACCATTCACATCGGTTGTGTCCATAGTCAGATCACTCCCGGAATCAGAAATCACGTCGTTTAGACCGAAGTATTTGCAGTATTAAGCTAACTCTAAAGCATCGGCGTACCATCCGACGCAGGCGCAGTCACTTGGACACCGCTCATCTGCGTTGATGTAAAAACAGATTTGAGTATAACGGTCAAAGCAGACAAAAGTGAGACGAATGGTGTTGGCGTTGTCGTCTACGCGTGAGCATGAGACAAAGAGCCTGTGGCGCATCGAAGCGATTTAATATTCGAAATAGCCGGAGCGTGGATGCCGCGCGTTGTTTACAAAAACAAAATCAATCCTGTAAGGGATTGAGCGGCGTTATTGACAGCGTTATTGAACTCGGCCTGGGGCCAAAGGTCTCAAACGACGTGGCGTGACTGCGTATTATGTCTTCGAGTATGTGCTTGACTCTCTCAGTTTGTTCACCCGTTTCTGAACCATCGACATGAAAAGTCGATAATCTAGCGGATAAAACAATTGAGCCAAGAAGGCTGATGTGAATGGGTCGCGATTGGAAACATGGATTCCGGCAGTCATGAGGCCAGAAAACACAGTTGATAAACAGTGATGCGATTTATTCCACCGTAAACGAGGCCTTAACTGCAACAAATGCATCATATTGCTGAATCTATCTACAAAGATAGGAACGTTCGTGCGGTCTGATTGCACGGCGACAAGTCAAATAAATACTCACTTAACATCATGCTTGTGAGGGTATAGGTTGGAGCAACTCGCGGAGAGAGTCGCTCACACTCATCGAGCATAAATAGAAGACAGTGCACGCCATTGCAAGCTATACACCATTTCTCATAAATGATCGGACAGTCTCCGTTTTTTAACACATCCCGTCTTGATGTGTTGATACAGTATAATTCGCTGATGTCAGTCCGTGTATACATTAAACAAAACTACAGATATATTTCAATGATCTCGAGGGTCATCTGTCAAATGCGCGACGCTATGGCTGCGAGTCAGATTGCTTTGGCGACAACATTTCGACGCCAGAGGGACTTGTTTTATTGATGTGAAAAAGAGTGTATAAAATGCTGCTGTTCTACCCACACATGCAGTGTCGAATGCGGCCTATATATCTAAATTGCACCTACGAGCAAAAAATGTAACTTCACACATGTATCCACAGGAATGTAAACGCATCTTTGAGTAGCTCAATCAATACCACGATCTTCCTCTCACGATCTCGTTGAATGCGAAGCCATCTTTCGAAGACTTAAAAATTCTCAGCATCCGCTATAGCTAAACTACTCTACTGTACAGTAGCTATGTATTCTAATTGCGGGTATATGACTTGAGTTTTGCAGTGCGATGACGTAGCTCATACGGCGCATCGAGAATTGGATCATATCAATTTGTACCACTCTGCCGTCACAACAGAATCGGTCTTCGTGATCTAAAGGATTA